AACAATCGATAAGCAGGCATTTTATGATGACTTCTCCTGGATGAAAATCCAAAGCCTTTAGGTATTTTAATAATTGAGCAAACTCATGTCCCTCTTAACCTGGGGTGGGGAGGGAAACCCAAAGGCAAGTGATTTTCTCAGCAGCCCAAGAACAAGGAAAGGAGCAGACTTATAGTAAGTGCTTCCAGCAGCCAGTTAATCATTGTACAAACTCTCAGCAATAATCCAGGTACTTGCTGCAAAACTTGGTTTGAATGCTCCCTGCCTGCATGCTTGCAGGCACTTTGCATGCTGCTGCCCTGGGAAGGTTTTAGGCCCCCTGCTCTCTTCAATGCCAGGCTGGCACAGGAGCATTCAGGGTCAGCATTAACTACAGTTATATGCTATAGCTCCTAAATTATGCCTTATAGCTCCTATAAGCTATAGCTCCCAGATAATCTCTTAGCTCATGCACAGGCTTTTCAACAGAAATAGCTCCTAGGTCTAGTCTGTCCTTTTGGTCCAAGGGAGACCCTCATGTCAGGGCACAGTGACAATCCAGCCTACCAATACTACTCACTGAATGCTCTTCAGTGCTCTCTGATGGACATTGAAATCCCTTCCCTGTGTGTTTTCCACTCGGTTTGGCCACCAGCTGCAGTCAGGGTAATAACTCTAAGGAAGTACCAGGTTGCCAGCTTTCCCACGCACACCAAAATTGCCTTGCCAGAGGGGTAGGTCCTCAGCTGTGAGAGATTTGCTGCTCTCTGTGCATTTGGCAGAGAGGCAGTTTATACTAGCTGCAGATCTGGCTCAAGAGGGGTGGAAAGGAACACGATCCAAAACTTTTTGATCTGCTTCACCATTCAAATCCCATTCTGGTCCCCACACTGTTCATGCTGCACTGCTCTGCTAACAGGCTGTTAACCCTGGCAACTCTGTGCATCAAATGCTTCTCTGTCCTCCCTCATTATTGCAGAGATGAATGGTTCAATCTTGTCTTCCTTCTTATCCTTCTTAGAGTATCTGAGTGGCACCTGATTGAGAATTACTCACTGTACACTGAACATGAGCTAGAATTGCTAGAGTGAATAACAAATACCACAGCTGGACAGCAATCTCTAGGAACAAAGCTCAAATCTAGGGAGCCTTTTTTTCCCCAGTAAATCCATTTTCTAAGTTCTGCTGCATTGTCTGCATGTAAACACCTGCAGAACAAGCCAACACTCATATTTAACCCGAGTCCTGCCAACTCTCAGTTCCACCATGTGTAGTAAAACAGGCACAGGGAATTTTACCTGCTGTAAAAGCTATGGTTACCATGACAATCCAGGTACATACAGAGCACTGAAAACAAAAGATTAGGCAAACTAAGCATAGACCATTTATACTAGAGTCCAAAATTCCATCTCCTGTTCAAAGCCTTGGGAAAAAAAACCAACAGCAATGTAATTAAATTATTTTTATGCTGCATGAACATTGTATTAAGGAAACCAGCACAGCTAGTGAACTCCCCCAGACAGACAAGATGAGCTAGCACAAAGCATGAAGACAAAATCCACCCAAACTTACATATCCTTGTTGTAGCAGGGGTAGGGCATGGCCTGGACTTGAACAGCTATTTCCTCTGGTTTCTTGCCAGTCTGTAATTCAATAATGGCTCTCTCAATGCTGTCCTGGATGTAAATAAAGGCCCGGCTGTAAATCTGGCTCTGGGAGGTGGAATTGTGTGGGCCCACAGTCCAGATGCGCTCCCTGATCCTGTTGGTGGTTTGTGTGATCCTGCTGCTCATTCTGATGGTGTAGTTGAGGACAGGAGGGAGGGCCAAGCCCCCATCAACTGAGTGTCCAGGGCTGCTGTGACTTGAAGGCAGCTTGAAAATGATACCTTGGAAAAGAAAGTGAAAAGGTTTTCCTTTGGAGTCGACAGCACGGGAGCAGTACACACAGATATTTAGGAACTCCTCATTTTTATAAGCCTTTTCTACATTAGAGTCTATCATTTCATTTCTTTGCTGCACAAATAATGCTCAAATGGGCTCACAGATAAGGTCTGGCAGTGGAAACAACACATCACTGCAGCTGCTCCTATGTTCAAATGTGACCAGTGATTCTGGGTGTGAAATACACCCCCAGAGTCTTTAAACCTTTTCCCACTGAGCATTCAAAAATCAAAGGGCTCTCAAAAGAACCAGCTGTATTTGGAAAACTCTTGCTGTTAACATGGGCTGCCAGATACCTGTTAGGTGTGTCAGCACACACATCTGTCATGAACATGCCCAAAGGTACTCTCTATCAATACAGCTCATATCAAGATGCTGAAACATAAAAGCCTCAGGAATGCGGTGTCGGAAATTGTTGATGACCTACACAAATGCCTGCAAAGATGAGATGTCTAAGACTATAAAAGCATGACAAGTTTCTCTTTGGAAAGGGCATGCATGTACAGTTTGACAGGCAGGACCTTTTTTTCCTTTTAAAATATCTGTTTGGTAGAGGCAATACTACAGAAGTTTTTCTCTCCAGAACATCTTTCCTGATTATTCCATATATAAAACACATGATGGAATGGAGGACAAACAGGGAAGAAAAATGCTTTTATGGGGATAGACGAATAACACTGGGGGCTGAAGTTCCAAGGAAAGCAAAAGTTTCTATCTACCCCATTCTATTTCTGAGGTATAAAACCAAAAAGATCACAGTAGATCCTAATGGAGACGATATCTGCCACTCTTTAAAAATTAAGATACATTTGTATCATTCAAATGAATATAAATTCCTAATCCCTGCTCCCTCCACCCCTCTCTGCAGTCTGATCCAAAGCTGCAATCCCATCCCACAAAGAGGAGAAGTGACTGAGAAGACCCAATATAGCATTGTGGTGCTTGGCTGGAATATCTCAAGTACTTCAACCTTCTAATAAATTGAACTATCTCATATTTGGATTTTAAAGGTCATTTCCAACTGAAATGATTCTATGACATCTTCCTCAATTAAAGCATCTTTTCCCATGGGAGCCTGAAAGAAGGTAACTGTCATGAAGATCTCCTTAGGGCAGTGACATTTTGTTCAACTGAGAACTAACCAAGAGAAAACACCAATGGGGCAAATGCTTTCTATACAGACAGTGGAGGTGTAAGGGAAGAGGAGGTACAGAAAGGAGAGGGTAAAGCACAGCCGTAAGAAGGTCTCAGTGTGCAGGTCCCACATACACTGGCTCAAAATCAATTGCTGTGTGGTGGGAGCTGTGACCACAACACTCGGTGGTGAAAAGCCAAATTCCTTATGCTGCATTCCCACCCTCTATCAGGCTGAACTTAATTTACAGGGGGATTCAAGAGTGTCACATACTTGCAAAAAGCTCGTTCTTCAGAAACAGCTCTTTAGCCACAGCTTCCATTTCCTCTAAGTCTTTGACTGCCTGAATGCGATTAAACGAGACGCAGGAGGACACATTTACAGCAAGGGTAGCTAGTGTGTTCAGCTGATCCACGATGTCAGTGTTGTTCTGTAATTCCAGACGAATATCATCTGGAAAAAACCCACCACAGACAAAACCACTAGCATCACTACACATAGCAAAATATCCATCACATCCTTCCACTCTTTACACCAGCGACGACATAGGAAAGGAAGAGAAAAAAACCCCTATCATACTAAGCATTAAGTGTAAGATACACTTCTGCACTCAGCAGTGCAATGAAGGCATGTTGTTGACCCAGTTTTTATGTTAATCATTTGTAATAAGCCCGTGAGTTTGCCTTTGGGAGGATGCCAGCAATGGGATGTGACAGCCATCCCAAATCAGAAGTTGCTGCTCACCTGCTGAGGTTTTCGACTCACACATGATGCTCACCATTCCTTCCACACCTTATGGTTTTGGATGTAATCAACACGTCTGTTGAGCTGCCATGTCTCAGGGGAGAACGTACTTTATCCAAGCACATCAGGGCAGAGCTGTGCGCTGTGCTGATGTGTGTACTAAACCCCATAATGCAGTTAATAAAGACACTGCTGTTTGCTGGCAGTTTCAAAGGTGACTGCATAATGCAAGGTAACTAATATGGAACAGCTGCTGCAGGCACTGTGATTTTATGGGGAGTTAAGACAAGAGTTGTTACTCATGAAATAACATGGGGGTCATCATGAACAGGATGTAAATACTCTTCTGACTGCAACAGACTAGAACCACACTTGGCTGCTGCTGGGTTTTGCTGGCATAGCCCAGGTTTATGTTGGTGACATGGATGGCCACTCATTGAAAATGTGGGTAGGGACAATAAGCCCAGGGAGGAAGGGACTGTGATCCCCATGCTGTGCACTAACAGGGGATGATATATCCACCACCGCTGTTAGCTGGTGATTCTCACAGTGCATATCAGCAACTCTCACCTTGAAGGACCATGCAAGACCACTGGAGAACAACAAATTCCAGCAGACCATCTCCTGTGATGATGCCTCTGGCTTCATCACCCTGGGTACCTTTATCTGATCCATTTCTTTTCTGCTCTGAAGAACTTTTAATTTGAACCTTGATGCGATGTAAGTGAGCTCTTTACATTTTCCAGCAGAGTCCCAGGTAGCTCATTTGAAGCCATAATTACGGCTAAACAGTGTCCTCCAGTGGCCACACACAGTGGCAGAGACTCCCATCCCACTATCCCTTCGACACCCAGAAGAAACATCTCTTCACACAGGCCCTTTGCTTTCTAAGAGTCTTTCCCCATAGACCACAAGATTTCTGAATCACAGCTGAGGTTGCCTTGTACTAGAGCATCCAAAACTGGCCAGGGAAGAGCAGTACTAGAGGATGACTGCAGTTTGGTGACTCTGGAGCTCCCAGACCTGAAGTACATGTAAGAGGGCAGCACATATGGACCAACTTACCCAGTTCATTTATTTGACTCAGCAGTTCAGCTGCATCCAAATCCACCATCAGCTTGATAAAAACCTGCACAAAGGGATTCTGCAAGGTGTTCTATCAACAAGAAAAAAAGAAAGACCATCAGTTTAACCAGAAGCCTCTTGAGCTTAGCTTGAGCTAAAATACAGCACACCAACTGCCTTCACTGAGCATTTGTACCACCCCCTCCTACTCCTTTCCTGACCTTCCAAAATTCACTCTGTGTATCAGAATGGGGAAATGCTAGCAGTGGAAATGCCATACAGAGCTCTCTGAGTCCAAGTTAGTGCTTCTCAGAGTCAAGAGAGGATTCCTACTGAGTCTCCGCCAGGTGCTAGAGTCCCATGAAAAAAACATAACGGATAATCTTAGTTATTCTAGAAGTGCAGTAGGTTTCCTGTGTGTCTGTTTAAGACCTGTGAACACAGCCAGAGCACAATGGGTAGGCAACCAAAACTTAACTTGGAGATCAGCAGACAGATTTTTGTTCGGCTGAATATTTCATTATTCCACCAATGAGTGCAATCAGCAGAGAATATTTAATTTCACTTTGCATATTCCACTACAGATTTTCTCTCAGTGCCATGGCAATTAGAATAAATTCCAGCCCCTGAAATTAGCTTCTAATGCTTTAGGATTTCAGGGATCTCATTTTCTTAGTTTTATGAGAAAAGGAGACAATTTTTACTACATAGAATGGGAAACAAGTATGTGAAACATTACAGTCTACTGCTTTCTGTATCCAAGCAAGGTGAGGCTCCTTAGATGGGGAAAAAGAAATTTTATTTACACTCACTGAGGTACGAAGACATTTCTAGCTCTTATGTGTGTACCTAGAGCAACATGCTTATTATAGATACTGTTTCATTTTCTGAAAAAGTCATTTCTTGCCTGGTCTTGGCTGGCTGGATCACTCCATCAAGCAGAAAGTTAATTTACAAACTGAAGAGCGTTCCCTGCTCATCTGAGCCCTCCAGCAGGCCTCAGCATGGCCAGTGTCAGGCAGCATATTACAAACAGATCATTTGAGAAACAGGATTTGCATGGAAAGGTGAGTAAGGAGTATTTCTGTCAAGGGAACAGGTAAGCAGGCACAGGAACTGTGAAGTCTGGTACAAAAGCTGAGAAGGGTCTCCCCAACTGACCTAAGATATTCCTGGAACCCCATTGTATTTCAATGAATAAATCCATCTTCCCAATTCCCTCCTGGCAATGAGACAGGGGAGGTAGGATCTCATACCTTGATCATTGGAACTGTCTGGTTTAACTTAGACAGCGACTTCATGATGACAGGAGACTTGTCCAGCCACTCCTGGGACTTCAGGGCTAGGTCAGCCATCTGTTCCAGGGTTGCATTAGACTACAAAAGAAGTCCACAACATATAAGAATTCATTTATTCATTGCCTTACAGATTTCTACTAAAAAATCAATAAAACAGCTAAGACCCAATTTGGTTTCCTTAGGATTTTCCTTAGCACCCTATCAGTGTTTGGCAAAATACCCCTTAACACATTGAATTTGATGCAAGTACTTAAAAATAAGGCCTTATAAGTGATATTTGGAGCATGTCATAGAATCATAGAATTTAGGGGTTGGAATGGACCTTACAGATCATCTAGTCCAACCCCCTGCCCTGGGCAGGGACACCTCCTCACTAGATCAGGTTGCTCAAGGCTCATCCAGCCTGGCCTTGAACACCACCAGGGTCAGGGCAACCACCACATCCCTGGGCAACCTGTGCCAGTGTCTCACCATCCTCACAGGAAAAAATTTTTTTCTCACATCCAACCTAGACTTTCCCTCCTTCAGTTTGAGCCCATGACCCCTTGTCCTATCACTGCAGTTCCTAACACAGAGTCCCTCTCTGGCTCCCTTGTAGCCCCTTCAGATATTGAAAAATTGCTCTGAGGTCTCCACGCAGTTTTCCCTTCTCCAGGCTGAACAGCCCCAATTCCCTCAGCCTGTCCTCATAGGGGAGATGCTCCAGTCCTCTTAGCAACTTTGTGGCCTTCTCTGGACTTGCTCCAACAGTTCCATGTCCTTCTTATGTTGAGGACACCAGAACTGTGTGCAGTATTCCAGGTTGGGTCCCACAAGAGCAGAGTAGAGGGGAAGAATCACTTCTTTTGACCTGCTGCCCACACTCCTTTGGATGCAACCCAGGATTGGATTGAGTTTCTGGGCTGCTAGCACACACTGCAGTGAGTTTCTCATCCAGTGTCTTCAATATCAGCTTTCCTTCTATGACTGGCCTGCTTGCAAACAAGCACTGGTTATAGCATTTGTCCTGGGAGATATCTCTCTCTTACTGGCTGAAAATATGGGGGTGAAATTTCATAAACTGAAGGCCTTAAAAAAATTGTGTTATGAATATTAGACCAACAGCAATTTTCTGGAGGTAAGATTCATTCAAAGACAAAAGATGACTCATATGATCAGCAAGGCAACTACGAAAAGATAATTTGATGAGTGCTCCCAGCTATGAGAAAGCAGACCTTTGAGAGGGTGTACCCTGATGTCCTGTAACAGAGTCATACCTTTCCCATGATTGCTCGAGTTTCTGGGGTATCTGGTGTATAAAGGATCTTCCCAAGCACCATTGGTTTTAAAAAAGACCAGATTAAAGCTCCAGTCGGGGTCTTGACCAGGTCCAGGTAAAAGGATAAGCAAAACGGTGCTGCAAGGGGAGACAAGAAAACAAATTGTACAGAGCACAAATAGACTGCACACAAGAAAGTTATCAGTGTGTATTTTTTCCCCATCTGCCCTGTTTGTTGCTGTGCCCAGTGAATGACTTGAGGGCCCTCTTCACTGACTGATCTAATGCATCTTGACAAAAGCAATCCACTCCCCAAGATCTCCTGTTGCTGAACTCGAGACAACAAGAGTCTCGCTGTTTGAGCCAAGATTCTCTGCTCCAAGGTTAAATGGAGTTTTGTGAACTCAGAGGAGCTAATAATGTCAGTACAGTCAGAAAAACTAGACATCAAGAAAAAGCAGTGACCTATTGAGCCCTAAGACCAGATCATCAACAAATGGGAAGCAGTGCAGTGTCAAGCACTGCTCTGCTGCACAGGCAGTTTTCCTTTGAACATTTATGGAAATAAACCACTGATAATTAGGGCAGTGCAAATCTTCAGCTAGCATAAATAATGAGCACTTACAGCCCTCAGAGACATATGGGGGAACAGCTCAGCACTAGATCTCTCTGGAAATAGCAGAGTTTGGCTCTGAAATGTTTAAGCCCTAAGGAAAAGCCAGACTTACTGGAGTCATGAGGAATCCCATATTTCCTCATCAACTTTCGGACGTAGACATCCTTCTCATAAGAACTGTTGCTTGCAGGGTCTCCAAAATCTGGAAGCAAGGACTCAAAAAACAGGGGTGTGATCTCCTGGTTGCAGAGAACTTTTGACATGGACTTAAATGTGCCACGTGTTATCCTAAAGTTGTTTGGTTTAAATAATGCCTGTAGAGAAGACAAAATGCAAATAAATCCTGCACCCCACTGTGAGAGAAAAAGAAATAACAGAATGAGAAGGCAAGGATTGAACATTTTTACACTGTTTCTTATGAGACGTTTGTCTCTATGAAAAAAAACGAACTTTCCGTGGAAATCACACATTTTTTGGCTAACCTCTGCTATAACAGAAGTGGTAAATTAATTTCCAGGTATGACAGCCAATGTGGGAATTGCCTACAATGTATGCAGGAATCCCCTATGATATGTGCCTGGTGACACGTATACACTCTGGGTTACAACACAGGATTTGGCACACGGATGTGCATATCCCCTATCCCTATCTCAACCATGATTGTACATGGCTCTGCAATGTGCAGGCAAAGTGACAACCAGGAACGATTCCTCTGATCTATGCTCTCATTGACTATGGATCAGAGAGGGATTGGACACAGTGCTGGATGAAGGTAGTACACCCTGAAGTTACTGCAGCTGTCAGAGCAGTAATGGCTTTGTACTGAATGTTTCAGGCAGTCTTGAGGCTTTGCGTGTGATCTAACACACACTAAAGCTAGAGCAATTTTTTTGTTGTTGACTTATGTGGTTTTGCCTTTAGTGGACAGTTCTCCAGCTATTTTCACCAGTTGACTCTTCCAGTATTTTGCTGGGAGTCCTGCCTCCTTCAAGACAATTGTTCATCCCCTGCATTTTTGCTCCAAGCATCCCTCTCACAGCATGTGTTCCTAGAGTCCCACCTGTCATGAACACATGATGGTCCCACTGCTCCAAATCAAAGCTCTCCCTGGAAGGTAACATGTAATCACAGAATGGTTTGGGTTGGAAGGGATCTTAAAGATCATCTAGTTCCACCCTCCTGCTGCAGGCAGGAACACCTTCCACTAGGTTGCTCAGTACCCCATCCAGCCTGGCCCTGAACATTTCTAAGGATAAATTTGATAAATTTAAATAAATTTAAATTTTGATAAAAAAAAAATTTGAGATTTTTCTTAGAACACTATTGCTTTAAGAGAGACTCAGCAATCTATGATTTCATGCACCTTTGACTTCTAGGGTAAGAAATTACTGTGGAAACTGTTCCAGTGGTGTTTTGCCTTCAAACGACATGCAGACGACACCTACCTTAGTCAGTGGCATTTTCCTAGACTGCCGGAGCTTTTTCAGGGAGTGAATAGCTTGTAGCAATGGATCAACGCCAGATTCAACCTGGTGTCTGAAATATTTCATTTTTGTCAGAAGGCCTAACATCTTGTCCACGGATTTCTGAAGTTCCTTAGGGAAAAACATCTACAAAAGGCAGGAAGGAAATCAATTATGATTAGCAGGAATCTGTGCACATGCTTGTACATGTCAGTATTGTGTTCATTCAAAGACAAGGACTGTGGGATTTTCAAAACTGTTAGGAGGCTTAGAGAGTGGATATCCCATGGGAAATGAATGGGATTTGTATTCCTAAATCCCTTCTGTGAACCACTCCCCTGAATATTACCTAATCTGAACAGTGCATGTTTCCAAACACCTACAGTTGGGAAATGTGTGTCAGATACTGGCTGGGATAAAAATCAGTTAAGGCAGCATTTCACACAGCATAGAGACATAGAATCAGGAAGTACATGGACCTGTTGGAGTCAGTCCAAAGAAGGCCACCAAGATGATAAGAGGGATGGAGCATCTCTGCGGTGAGGAAAGGCTAAGAGAACTGGGATTGTTCAGCCTGAAAAAAAAGCGGCTTTGGAGTAACCTAATTGCAGCCTTCAAGTGCCTGAAGGGAGGTGACAAGATGAAGAGAGACTATTTATAAGGGCCTGGAGTGACAGGACAAGAGGGAATGGCTTCAAGCTGACAGAGAGTAGGTTTAGATCAGGTATTAGGGAAAAAATTCTTCACTGTGAAGGTGGTGATACGCTGGCACAGGTTGCCCAGAGCAGCTGTGGCTGCTCCATCCCTGGAAGTGTTCAAGGTCAGGTTGGATGGAGCTTGGAGCAACCTGGGCTAGTGGAAGGTGTCCCTGCCCACAGCAGGGATTTGGAATGAGATGATCTTTACGGTCCGTTCCAACCCAGGCCATTCTGTAATTCAGTTTGGAAAAGACCTCCAAGATCATCAAGTCCAACCATTAACTAAACATCACCTTGTCAACTAAACCATAGCACGAAGTGCCATGCCAAGTCGCTTCTTGAACACTTCTGGGGATGGTGACTCCATCACTTTCTTGGGAAGCCCATTCCAATGCTTAACCACCCTTTCAGTGAAGAAATTCTTCCTGATGTCAAACATTATGATCGACTTTTGACCTGAGCCAAATTCACTTGCATTCTTGTTTCATGACTTATTTCTCCAGGATCACTCCTGCACCATTTTTAAATATGTACTGAATACACACTTCTCCATGAATGTTCTCTTATATACTGTTTCTACAGTGGTATGTGGGGGATATTTGAATAATTTAATAACTTTGTAGTTCCAAACACATAGGGAAAACAGATTTTACAGGACTTTCAAGAAATAAAAAAATTTAGCCCAGTGCCTTATTTTGGGGTCAGCTGGGAATGTTCAAGAGGTTATGACAGCACATAAAGGATACTAGCAAACAGGGAGGTATTTAGAATAGGTCCAGTGCCTTTAAATGAGGTTTGCTGGTTTGCACCAGCTGGGACTCTCATTTATATCCACAATGTCACAGCATGGATATGCAATAAAAATTACTGCATGAGCAAAGCCTGATCTTTGGCTTGTGTAAATCAGCATAGCTTCTGGCCACTGCAATGATATTTTATGACCTTTCAGCCACTCCATGCAGCAGAGACTCCAGAAACCACTCTACAAATCCAGCACTAACCTTGTATAAGAAATTGTAAACGTCTAAGTGTCGTAACAGAGTGACCCCAAGGACGTATGTCTCACGAGTCCTCTCTGAAAGAGAGAGATTGCAGAACTCCTCTGCTACTGTTCGCAGCTGCGGGTCAGCGGGACGGACGCTACAGGACTCCAGCTGGAGGATCTGAGAAATGAGCTGTGTTTGCACAAAGGGAAAATAGATTTGTTAGGGGTGGACTGCACGCTCCAGTATGCATGGATTAATCTTGCCTTGCTGTGGTTCTTTCCACAGTGTCATATTTCAACCTTGAGAACCAGAAAATGCCTACCCATTACTCCCACTCCCAGGTCCAAATCTTAAGGATTGTGTTTTACTACTCAGCTTGCACAGTAGTAAAAGCTTTTGTGGCTTCAATTTCTCATTGACTGATGCATGTGAAGTTTGGAAAAGAGCACACTCTTTGGGGCTCAGTCCAGACAAGATGGTTGGGAAAGGGAAAAGCATCTGGAGCTCTGTTTGCCCAGGAGGCCAAGGGAGGCAAGCTCATCTCTCATTATGGGAGACTATTCTCAGACCCTGAGCATGCTCATGAGTTGTGGTTAGAAGTGTACTTTTCCATCTGGACTGTGACAACTTCTCAGTGCTGAGGACCCCACTGAACACCCCACTCAGCCCTCATTAGTCTGTCACAGTGAACTGCGCCCTGCTACAGACCAGAGCCATCACTCACAAGGCAGTGCCTGGATGTGTACCAGCTACTGGTGACAGCCAAAGGGACCATATGGCTCTTGGTCTCCAGTAGCTGGACTGACGACAATGACTGTTCCCACTGCATTTCTGGTGGCTATTCTGATCCATAACTTGCTCTGCTGTCTACCCCTGTGGGATCATCTACCTCTCTGTGCTGTCACACGTCTTCACGTGCAGTGATCTGCTCAGCTGCATCCACCAACAAATTCTGGTTTTAATGGTCTGAGAAGTAGAAAGCAACAATATCTCCCAACAGGATGACAGCAAACTTACCTGACTGCTGTTCTCCGGGAGAGATACTTCCAGAAGAGCATCAATACTGGCTGCAGACATTCCTGTTGTGTCTTTGAGATCCTCTTTGAGCTGGTCCACGTTTTTAAACACATCTCTTAACTTCTCTGTGAAGAGCAATCAAAGAACAATTGATGTAACAGCTTTCTCCAGACACATGGCAATCTCAAGCACACAAAGAGGACTTTGGGTGAAGTATGGAAGTGTGGTACAACACTGCTGATAAAAGAATATCCAACAAAAACTTGCAAAACACAGTCGTTATCTCCTAGGTTTTAAACTCCAATTTGTAGGCTGAAGTTATCAGGTTTCTGGATAGCAAAATTTGCTTAATTACGAGGACTTGGTACTTTCTTTGCACAGAAAACAAAGGGTGGTCTAGAGCAGGCTCTAGAAGTACCCCAGATAAAGGATCCCAAGGACATGTGTAGGGTTTATGGTTATTTCATTAATATCACTTCTTCCTGGCAGCTAGGCAGTTCTTGGGACTTCCAGTAGAAAGTATGGAACCAGTGATGATGTTTACCAACATTGTAAAGTAAACACAAAAAAAGTACCTTGCTTGCTAGAATCTGTTAAACTCTCAGTGATGTTCAACATGGAATTCAAAGTAGTCATATACTGAGGAATCTCTTGAAAGAAAGCAATTTCTGGTATATTTTCTTGAAGCCTAAATTGGAAAAACAAAACAACAAACAAAACTGAGACTATGCAAAGAAGGCAAGAAGTAATTTCATAAATAGATTACTAACACCGTCAAACTCAGAGGGAGAGCCTCACCACTTCAGTTGTGTCTGGATGTTGGTGACATTCCCAATCAGTACATTTTGAAGCTCTTGGGAGATTCTCCTGTGATTCAGTACATTGGTCACAACTTGATTGCTCAGCAATACAGTGCGGAGGAGCTGCTCATGAGATTGACTTTGTTCGCACAGTTCTCCGAAGCTAACCTCAGGGAGATGGCAGATATGCTGTATTGACTTAAAGCTCTCGTAGTCACAAAGAAGTGTTGTCAGATCCCGGAGGCGAGATATCTTCAGAGGAGATTTTGAAAAAAGGAGATAAATGCACAAATACCAGTTAGATGACAGAATTATAAAATGCAAGTTTTAAAGAATCTAGCTGTCCCTTTCTGTTTCTCTTTAGGACTAAGATTTATATATTTGCCATAACAGTCCCATGCAGCGCTCCAGGCTGGG